AACCTCATCACTAGCCATAGCTCTCACACCTTGTTTTATGTATCCCAGATTGTGACAAGGTAATGCCTTGGTCAGTTCCGATAACCATTTTACAAGGTTCGAATAGATTAAGACCTTGAATGTCCTTGAACGCTTTCGAGAAGCCTGTTCAATATGCATGGGAATTCAAGGCCATCTTCTTCCCCCACCAAAAGGAAAGGGGTTGAAAATAAAAGAATAGAAAAGAGATATTGGACTCACTAAGCCTATCTGCATTCACAAAGGGTTAAAATTCAAAGTAGGGAAAAAGAAAAAAAACAGTAAGTTAAAAAGAAAACCTAGAAATTCAGCTAGCCAATGTCATTTCTCTTGAGAGCCAGTAGCTGGGAGAAAGCATTATCTGCATACACACCTTTGTTTTCTTGCAAAGGAAAACATTCCAGTCAGCACTGCTCAGGCAGGAAGGAATAAATATTTACAGTTTGCTGGATTTTCTAGTTCTTGGGCACTGAACCCAGGCAACTCTCCGCCTTGACATACCATCTACTTCCAGCAGCCTGGAAACCTGGTGGGCCTGCCCATCCAAAACTATGTGACCCCAGCCTTCAGGACTTAAAAGGTCCATTATGTGTGTGAGTTGGAGCTGGTTAGGAACAAGCCGGGAAATCATTACATCCAAAAAAAAAGAAAGAAGGAAAGAGAGAAAGGAAGAAGGAAAGAAAGAAAGAAAGAAAGAAAGAAAGAAAGAAAGAAAGAAAGAAAGAAAAGAGAGAGAGAAATAAACATACACAAATTGCTTTCTGGTGGCCACGCCACACTCATCCCCAAAGCAACCCGCGAGCATCATGTTTTGTTGCAAGGAAACTAAGGCAGAGAAGCACAGTGGTTTACCCAGGGTCTTCAAACTGAGTGTACGGCAGCTTGTCAATCTCCATTCTCCTGTTCCTACTGGAGTCTTAATGGCTGCTTTCAAGAACAGCCCGGACATTAGTCCTCCAACTTCCTGGACCCACTCTTGGATTACATAAGTCTGTGTGGAGTTGCTTCCATAACATAACAACAGTAAGCTCCCTTTGACGTCCTTCAATGTGTCTTACACATCTGCAGGGCCCAAAGTGCTTGGCATCATACCGTGCTCATCAGTTCTTACAGAATGGAGATTTAAAGCTAACCCGCTTCATCTACTTGCCGTTTCAGGAGGAGAAATAGAAACCCAAAGCATGAAAGATACCAAAAGAAAGTAACCGGGGTCACAACCTTCTCATTCCTAGCTATCTCTCAACACTAGGGTAAAATAATATTTTTCTTTTATGAGTTATTTGCTTATTTATTCGGTGCTGTGTGACCCTCAAACTGAAAAGTGTTGTTTAAACACAGAGTGACCCAGGTAGTTGTGGGGTCTGAAGGAAAGAAAGACAACAGAAAGACAAAGGGCCAGGGGATCAACCTAAAGCCTGACTCTATGCGAGTACATACTCACCATGGTTTTTCAGGGTAGTAAATATATATATATCATGAAAATTATTATTCTTATTCTTATTGTTGTTGTTGTTGTTGTTGTTGTTATTATTGATAGAAAGAATATCCCAAGCTGGCCTCACAAACTCTTCCTATAACCGAGGATGATCTTGGACTCTTGATCCCCCTGCCTCTAACTCTGGAGTTCTGCATTTACAAGATATGTTCTACTACTCTGCCTGGTGTAAACAGGGCTGGAGATGGAACCCAGGGCTTCCCGAATACTATGCAATTGCTCTCCCCACTGAGCTACATCCCCAGCCTCCTAAAATCTTGACAATGAAAGCAAAACATAAGAGAGGGATAAATAGGATTAACATTTTCTGACACCAGGTGAAAAGTACACATTTATAACATACTTTGTAGCATAAGTATGGATACTGTCGTCCTCATAGTATCCGGGTGTGTGTGTGTGTGTGTTTGTTTGTGTGGGTGAGAAAGAGTTATTACCCTTTTGTTTGTTTGTTAAATAGTTTTGTTTGTAGGAGAGGTACTGGAAGAAGACACATTTGCTGACCTTCCAGAGGACTGGAGTTCAGTTGCCAGCACCAAGGTTGGGCAGCTTATGACTTTCTGTAATTTTGGTTTCTTGAGTGGGGACACACACACACACACACACCCCACCCATTCACCTCCAGCTATCATCCCCCTGCATAGACACTTCTCCATACACATGCCTGGAAGAAAGGACAGGATTCTGAAGGAACAGGGTTCAGCTCAGACATTAACCTTAGAAGAAGAAAGTTTCTGTAATATACTTCACATCTCGGATGAAGAAAGAGCCAGCCTCAGGAGGGCCTTAACAATAACCACCATGGTTAATACCGGACCAGCTGGTCTGGAGAACAGTAACTAAAAGCCACACTAATGCCAACCCTTTGAATAGCAGCATAATGTAGGTGTTCTCAACCCCACAAGAGGGAAGAAACATTAGCCATTAAAAATGAGTCATTTTTACACATTAAGAGTCCATTAACTCCTGGGGCCAAGTCCCAAGTCCTCAGTAGTGCCACAAAACACAGGAAAAGCAATTCCACCAGCTAATGTGAAGAGCGAGTCTTAATTATGTCCCCTGCTTTCTGAGTTTCTAGCTTGACTCGGCAAATCTCAGAGAGAAGCTATGGATGGCAGATTGTTCCATACTGTGCAGTTGTTAAGAACTGGCAGCCAGAAATCAGGCTTGTTGCCTCCTAAAATTAGAGTTAAGAACAAGACCCAGAATGTTGCAATACAATGCTGCACATTACTGAAACATGCAATAAGGAGTTTAGTATTGCCCTCTCAGCTTGCATCATAATACCCAGGCTATGGGAAAAACAAGCTGGGAGCTACAGGATGCTTGCAGAACATGGTCTCTCAAAATACAAAA